TGACGCGCTCCCAAAAGACCAGGAGGGCGATAAAAACTAAAACCCAGAATCCCCATACTATGAACACCAGGAACTTTCCAATTGATACGGCAGAAGGCAATATAGACGGAGATGGGGGGGGATTGTTAAAACCAACACCTCATCTACAGCTCGAGAGGAATAGGATGATCGATCCAAAGAAGATGGGACGTCCCCTCCGTGCTATAATGCCGACCGAATTGGGGATGTATGGGGTGTGGGATAGCTCTAGGAGCGACTGCGAGTCGATGGACACTCTGGGGAGCGGAGAGAAGAGCGAACCCGGATGGAGGAATGCGCGAGAGGGTGGAGCTTGTGGGATCAGCCTACCGCACCTCACATCAACAGCACCCATCGACTCCAAAGATCCTTGTCACAGGCACGCAAGAATGAGAGGCAACGGAGCGAGGAGGGGGGTGGAAGAGGAATGCTGGGACGTTTGGAAGGATCGTAACCCCACCTCCCCCCAGACCGAGACCTTTGTTTATAACGCGGGGAAAAAGAGCGCAGGAGACGAAAGAAAGGGGGGGAGCATGTTAACTGGGTTTGGCCGCATCTACGAGACTGGCTGCATAGACAAACAACTTATTAAATCATCCCAGCTTACTACTACACCCCAGTTAACCCAGAGTGGTGCATGTGGCCATCTTGACAGCAGTTGGGCACAAGGGGGAGGTACTAGGGATGAAAGGGAAAACATTCAGAGAGAGAATAGTCGTGCAAATGTGGATTGGGAGAAGGAGAAGGAGAAATGCAAACCACTAGATAAACCCGAGGGAGAGAACAGAGACAATCAGAGAGACAAGGAGGCTGCTCCACCTACTTTAGAGCTCAAAGAAAAGAAGGCAAATGAGGACACACGCGAAAAAAAGGGGTGCAGGAAGAAACGAGTCACTGGAGCACAATCCAACCAATTAGGTCCGATGACGAGATCGAGGAGCCGGGCGCAGACTTTGGCTTGCTTATAAGAGACTCTCTCACTCCCTGGCGCTTTAAGCCCTGAGGATGCCGGCAGGTGACGACGAAAGCTTGGCGTTTTTAAATTAAATTAAACTTTTATAGTTTTATCACCCTGGTGCTCACCTTATTTTAAATATATGTATGTATGTATAATTAAAATAATGATCACCAAGAGAAATTTAAGAAATAAAAGTTTAATCAACCAAGCTTTCGTCAAATACACTTGACATCATCAGGGTTAAAAAGAAAGAAATCTTACATATAGTTGTTAAATGCCTATCTCTGGTTTACAGAGTGCTTCGTTGGATCCAGCTGGTCAGGCTGCATTTTAAGTGCACTTCTTAAGTTACTGTATATTCCTTTCTTTTGTTTGAGTCCCTTACACGTTGTTTTATCTGCTAGTTCGGAGATAGGTGGGTTTAGGCTGGAGGTACTCTCCCCTCTCCTGTATCCAGTTCCTCTATCGTCCTGCGTATGGCTGTCTCTGATGGGTGGGGGGGTGTTTGATTTACTTTTCGTGCTCCTGTGGGTTTTGGGTTTGTTTTGCTTTTGTTTATTTATCTCTTTGAGCCACGGTGTAAATTCCTCCTCCCATTTCGTGTTATTCTTCCTCTTATCTTCTCTCTTAAGTGTCGTTCTTAACGGTCTGTTGTTCATTCTGGCATCGCTTCTCTCGAGCATGCCCAAAGTGTCATCTGTTACGATCTCATTGACAGCACCCAGCTGTTCAGTCTGCTGCCAGTGAGTGTTGTTTTTATTTGTTCCAGATTCATCTCTTATGGGGCTCTCCTGTCTTGGCTGCAATTGCTGTTCAACCGATTGTCCTCGTGTTGAATGCATGGGGGGAGGATGGAGGGGGAGTTTCTTTTTATTCGATTTTGATTGGGTTGTCATCTCATGTTCCACAGAGCAACTGGAAGGAGGCTCCTCATCGTAACCACTTTCAGATTTTACTATGTTTCGTTCGTTCTGCAATTTCATGAGTCTTATACCATTGCTTTGCATATTATCTTTCTGTTCTAAAGGGAGTCCACCTACAGGGTGTTGTAGGGAGTCATGCAAAGATTGTTCGTTATGATTGATGTGCTGATGGCTAAACGGTAGTTGTGTGTTTGTTGGTGGAGAGCTGTCACTTAGAGTTCCGTTCATATGATCAAGTGGAGAGGGGTGGGGGTCAGGGGGTTGTCCTTATCACAGTTATATGGTTTACAACTGAGTCTCCTTTGGAAGTTGGACTGGCAGCTAGCATTTAAAGTTCTTAGAGCCTGGTGTGCTGAGCATAGGTCCACATGTCGGTTGATCGAATCTGTTCCTGAGAACCATGCTTCTTTCAGTAAACGGCCTCCCTTTGTAGCATCATTAGCTAAGATTTGGGTGTTCTCAAAATCAAAGTAATGATCATGCTCAGCTATATGAGCCCAAATCTGTGAATGCTGTTCACCTTGTTTGATTGCTAGTTTGTGTTCACGTAGGCGTGTTTTTAATCTCTTCGACATTTCACCTATATAATTACTTTTGCAGTCCATACAATTAATCTTATAGACTATAGCTGATCTCTCGGTGGTGGGGAGTTGGTCCTTGGGGTGCATTACTTTTGCTCGTAAAGTCTGGTTGGGCTTGTGGGCCACCTGTATATTGTGTGGTGCCAGTAACCTGTCTGTGGCTTCAGACACATTGTTAATATATGGTAAGGACACATGTATGGTTCGTGTTGGGGGTTCATCCTTCTGCTGTCCAATGTGGGGTTTAGATGTCATGCTATGTCGTTTAATGAACCTTAGGGGATATCCGTTCATCTGGCAGATGTGGAACAAATGTTTCTTTTCTTCTGCTTTTGACTCAGCAGTGCTGCAATGTGAATGCACCCATTTAAATAAGGTTTTAATGCAGCTGACTTTATGGGAGGTAGGATGATTGCTGTGATAGTGGAGGATGCGATCCATGTGGGTGGGCTTCCGATAGACCTTGGTGTTTAAATTTCCATCCAATGAACGCTGGACTAATACATCTAGAAAGGCTATCGAGCCTTGGATCTCCTCTTCCATTGTAAATTTTATATCTGGGTATATTGAATTTAATACTCTCATGAAGTCAGTCAGGTGACATCGTTTGATGACAACAAAGGTGTCATCAACGTATCGGGCCCAAAATTTGGGCTGCTGAAGGGCCATAGCCTCACGTTCTAGTTGTTGAAGGACTGCCTCTGCCACCACGCTGCATATTGGTGAGCCCATGGGTGTGCCTTTAACTTGTTCGTAGATGACACCTTGGAAGGTGAAATAAGTTGTTAAACATAACTCTATAAGTTGTGTCAAATCCTCAGTTTGTAGGGAATCATGGTGTTTAGTCTTACCTTGTTTTTCCAATTGGTCTCTCAGGACCTTAACTGCTAAATCTTGTGGAAGAGTGAGGTGACGTCAAAAGAGACCATCACCTCATCTTCCTCCACTCTGAGAGTCTTAATTTTCTCTATTAAGACTTAATTGAACCATTATACAAGATCTTTAAAAAATCCTGGAACACCAGGGAATTACCTGGGGATTGGAAAAGAGCTGATGTGGTTCCCATCTTCAAAAAAAAGGGGGAAAACCAGACCCAGGAAACTATAGACCAGTGATGGCAAACCTTTTAGAGACCAAGTGCCCAAACTGCAACCCAAAACCCACTTATGTATCGTCGGGTGCCAGGTGGGCATGGCCCATTGGGTGGGTGTGGCCCATTGGGTGGGCGTGTCTTCAGTGGTAATGGCAGACTGGATGGGACTAAAAAGTTCAATCAATCAGTCTTAGGGGAGCTCTAAGACTTCTTCAGACCTCATCGCAATGTCCCTGGGGTGTGGTGAGGCTCTCGAAGGCTTCTAGCCAGTCTTCAAAATGTCTGCGGAGGGTAGCCATAAACCAACTGAAATTCCGCAATTCAGATGTGTTGCAATTGTACAGGGTTACCATCTAGTCAGCTGCTCCATCTTCCAAATTAGGGTAACTACCTGGACCATCTCGACATCGGTAGGCAGTGTTCTCCCATAGATTTGCATGTAGGTGAGCACTTGTGCCAGGAAGTACCCCAATCACTTCGGGTCTCCACTACAATTGGATTTGGCTTCACCTTGGCTGGTTAGGGTGGTCTGCCTCTGGTTCCTTGAGGCGGACGGCCTCGCCATGGTGCTGCCTCCTGGGCTCCAGCCACTGCTGGCTCTCAGATCTCCGATTCCTCCTCCTTTGATTCACCTTCCAACTCTTCCTCCGATTTGGGGCTTTCTTTCAGCTGCACCTTAAATTCGTCAAGGGCTTTTTTCTTCCCATTCTTCCTTTTTCCCAACCCCAAGTGACCATCTGGCTTGATCTTCTTCATCAGAAGGCCTGGCTTCTTCCAGGTCCCTGGAGAGGCTTTCTTCTTTTTTCAAGCATAAGAGCCCATTTCTCTGCCTGGAATTCTTCCATGTGAAATTTAGTTGCGCCTCCCCCGGTAGGACAGTAGCTACTCCGGGTTGAGTACTAAGCAGATCTCGCCTTATGTAAGGACCAACCTCAGCTAACCATCCAAGAAAGCAGAACTCTTGAAATAGGCATTGTCTCAAAAGGAAACTTTTATTAGGGGTTAGTGACAGTAGGGAAGTCAAGGCAAGATCTGGGGAAAATCCTGCTTAAATGGTATAGTTAAATCAGCAATATTCCTCCTTCCACCAGAGTCATAATGTCCATTTGAAATCCAGCTAATCCACAGGTGGCAACGATGTGCGGGTAACTGGCACAGTTGGCATGCATCTCAAGTGAGGACCAGTGGAACAGCTTGCTGTCAGAAGTTATGGGTGCTTCATCACTGGAGGTTTTTAAGAAGAGACTAGACAGTCACTTGTCCAAAATGGTATAGGGTCTCCTACTTCAGCAGGGGGTTGGACTGGAAGACCTCCAAGGTCCCTTCCAGCTCTATTCTGATTGATAGAAATAAATACTTGCTTAAATATGAATATATAAAATACAGGTATAGGTAATCAAAATTACATCAGTATTCTTTTCATTTTTAATGTCCTGTTTCATAAGCTCAAATATATTTTGAGGGCCTGTGTGGAAAGTTATTCTTGTGGACTTAAAAAGGGAAAATATATAGGAAATAATTTGCTGGTAAGTATAGATATTTCAGAAGTAGATCCCATTTGGCTCAGTGGGCTTCCTCCCAGGAAAGTGAGACTATGATTAAAATCTTTGGGATTAAAACACATCAAATCTGTCTAATTAATCTGAGTCCTGATGCCCTGGTAACTAGCTAGTATGACTCTTGTGGGAGAAAGTAAACATGGTATCCACCTTGCAAAAGACAAATGGAACTAAGTAAATTCCAATTAAATGTGTGAGCATTTTGGAGGCAGCTGGCGTAATTTGATGAAACCTTGTTAAAGGAGTTTCCAACTTTATTACTTCACATTTTGGCAATGCTCAGAACTCTCAGTTCATCATAGATGCCTTTTAAGAAAGTTTATGATGAAGATCAAACATTGGTCACAAATTTCTATCTCTGATATTAATCCCCGATGAACACTCAATCAGACAGGATGAATAGAGACACAGAAGATCATGCATGAACTAAAAGGACTGAATTTGAAAGAGTTGCCTTTCAATCTTAGCTATCCCTGAGTTCCATTAAAAAAAATGAGCAAGTTATCTTCCAGGCATACATTTCTGCATGTAAATAGTAAAACCTGGATTTATGCCCTCAAAAAGCACGTATCAATATTGATTGATTTATTATAGTTTTTATAAGTCACTCTGTCAAGACTTTGGTAGGGAACAATACAAAATAACATGAATTTTAGAAACATCTCCCCAGATGGACTCCATTAGCAATCAACTGGATTTAAAACCTAAATTTAAAACTGCCTTTCAAAATGGGGGGGGGAGATAGGTGCATATCCAGAGTACAGTAGATTACAAAGTGTCAGGGTCACAACAGAAAACATCTATTCTCTGGTCTATGGTCTATGATGGGTTATTATTATTACTTCTTGAGATAGGTGGATTCAATTCTGGCTGCTGGAAAATTCTGGAAAATCTCAATTTCTTTCTTTGATCTATTTCTTGATTTAATTATGATGATAAGTTAAACATTATTTTGGATTAAACAGAAAAACCTCTGAAAGTCGACCATGCAAGGGACTGAAGGAAAATGGTCAACATATAAAGGTGGTCAATATACTGAACAACTATACTGATATCCTTTGATCTGCTGATTTCAACTCCCATAACTGTCAGTCAAGATGCCCCATCGATTATGGGATCTAGTCTCTAAGACATCTAAAGGGCAAAGGAAGGGTGAACTAAACAAAAAGGTCACAGGATCATCTCATGAATTATCTCAGTACAAATTAGGCTTCCCACTTAAGGGGTATTGTTTTCTTTCCAAGACACTCTGGAGAGCTAAGGTCAGATCCAATGTGAATGCTTGAGCTTCGGGTCCAAAGCTACAACAGCAAAAAATCCTGTGGCAGGACCTAAAAGGGAAGTGGTGAATGGGAAACGTAAACAAGCTCTTAAATCAGCATTTCTCAACGTTTGTGTGACGGCAACCCCCGTCACACGAACGTGCCACGCATGCGTGACGCACATGCCCGGCGCCATCCCGAGGGGGGGGAAATGGCGGATCGCATTGTTTGGCAATCGACCCCAAATGGGGGTCGCGACCCATAGGTTAAGAACCGCTGTCTTAAATTGAGTTGTTGAGCTCAGAGAAAGCAAACAAATCCCACGTCTTCTCTGGATCTTTTATGTCTTTCTGTTTCACCAGGGAAAACATCCCTTTAACATTCTTCTGGGTTTGAAAGAATCGTTCTCTGCACACGAAGAAACGTGACGAGCAATACTGCTTTGATGCAGGTGAGTCCATCAACGGCTCGCTAGACTGGCTTTTTCTCAAGCCCCCCCCAGCTCAGCTATAAGCAGCTTGGTTATCGTCCCTGGAAGATGCTGTGATGAGATCGCAAAGTGGGAAAGGCAATTTCAGCGCGCGTCCGCACAGAGCAAATCTACCTCCGCAAGCCGGTGCTTGCCTTTTTCTCATAATTAGCATTTTTGATAATTAATTGTATCGTCGGCGTTTCTGTTCCTTCTCCTCCCTAGGTGGGCGTGAGGGGCTTTGAACCAATCTGCGCTACCCTGCCCCGCTCCGCCCCGGGGTAGCGAGTGAGTAAAACCTTCACGTGACGAGAAGGGCGTGTCAATCGTCTTCCAGCCGCAGTAGTGGAAAATTTTCGAACTAAGAGCTGCGCGCGCAACTAACATCACCGCCGGTATCTCCCTCTTCTGCCTTGTCTAGAATATTCCGGAAAGGGAGGAGGGATGTTGTTTCTGAAAGATTTTTATAGCCATTTTATAGCGGCGCTGAGAGGGAAGAAGAGAGGGCGGAGCAGGGGTGTCTTCCATTCCTCTGCCTGCTTTTCTGAAGACCAGCAAGAATTCATAATAGAGGCAGGAAAATATTTTGTAGGGTAGTTTGGCCAAACCGCGGTTCCTTCCTGCCCCTCCCCTCTCATGTTATCGGAAGAAGTATCTTACATAAGAAGCAGCCCAAAACACCCGTTATTAACGGACGCATGTATTTTACACAGAGAAATATCTAGAAGGAGTTGCTTGGGAAGATGGCAGGCAACGAAAGGGATGGACCACCCCTCTTACTTTTCTACCATAATAAAGCCTTTTGCTTATATACTTCCAAAGGGATTTTATTGTGCTTATGATTTTAGTATATTTAAGTTTGACATTAGCATTTATTTTATATATAGTAACCATTTTATATTGATACTTATAGTGTTATGTAATCATTGATTTGTTATTTTGTAATCATTATTTTGTAGTTAATTGCTTGATCAGATGCTTTATATATATATATATATTGGAAAAGTAGGGGTTTCATGCTTTAGGTACAGGTGATTGCTTATATGAAAAGAGCACAGTAAGGGGAGGGGGAAAAGGAGTTACGGATGGAGCCTGGGTTGCTGTGTATGAGTCATCATCTAAGGATTATTTTTTTGTGCCATCTTATGCCTGGTATCAAGACCTGATCTTTTTATTCTGGAAAGGTATAAAAGGTGGAAGACATCTTATCTGGTTGTTGCCTTCATTCCTCTACCAGGAATGAAGGCAACAACCAGAAAAGCCACCCCAGAGAGGTGGAAAGGAAGGAGGGAAGCCCTGCCAATCCTGGGCAGATGGTGGTCAATCCAGACATCTGGGGAAAGCTCTCCAAAAAACCGACAGAAGAAAGGCTAGTTAGTGTCATTCATGACTCTAGCCCAAGCTACATAATTAAACATAGGTTTAATTATGGGTAAAAAGAACAAAAAAATGGAAATAAGTGTATACTGGTTCAAGAGGGATATGTATTTTAAGTAGTATATTATTTTCTTATTTTTCTCTCCCTTTTTTTCTTTTTCTCTCTTTCGTCTTTTCTTTTTCTATGTTTTTCTTTTGTGTCTTTTTCTTACTTTTTAAGACATGAAAATAGATTTAAATACTTTAAGGTAATTAACTCTGGGAAAATTTTAACCAGTAAGAATGTTTTGAAGGGAAAATAAATTTAAATAAGAATTGTAAACAGGATTCATGACGAGGCAACCAAGATGACCAGATAGAAAAGAAGCGTGATATTGATGTGATTATTATTGGTAGAAATTTTAGAAAAATCTTTATATTTAATTGTTACCTATCAAATTAATAAGAATTGTATTAATTTAAGGTTGCAAAGAGAATATTGGAAGAAGAGAAAATCAAGCAAAGCTATTATGTGGGCTTTGGAATACAGAAACTGACTGTTAGTGATTACTTTGTAAATATAAACCCATACAACATGCTATTTACCAAATATCAAGGTGTTTATTTTAAAAATCAATAAAATCAATAAAATATATTTTAAAAAAAGATTTGCCTTATCAAGGGCAGAGGACTCCAAGAGACAGTCACTCTGCAGACGCAGGAGAGTCAAGAAGGGAATCTCACTGTGTGTAACAGGAACAAGGGCCAGAGTGTTGTCTGAAAATATGGGAAGCTCTGATTTCATGGTCCTGCCGATGTCTTTAGGGAGACTGTTAAAAGCCTGGGATCAAAAGAAGTTACCTATCCAGGTGGAAATGGAAAAGAAGCGTGCACACCAATTATGTAAAGAGTGGTCTTTGCTCAGGGACAAAGCTGGAAAACCAATTTGGCTAAATAAAGGTACGTAAAAAGAACATATATAGGGACATTGGGTTTTTTTCTTCTCTCTCTCTTCTATGCAACTGGTTAATATGTTTAAGATTTCTGCCTTCCCTAATTTGAGTTAACTGAGATTTATAGTGGGAATGACCAGGGTGTGAAAACTGAGTGTTCTGTTTTCCTCTCTTTTACTTTCTCTCTCTCTCTCTCTGTATGTGTGTGTGTGTGTGTCTGTGTCCACGAAGTAAATATTAACTGTTGGGTGTCTCTAATCCCTAGAGACAAGAATTTTAAGATTCTGCTAGAATCTGTTTAAAATAAGCCAGCAAAAAGAAAAATACCTTCACCCTAGTTTGTCTGGCCAACAAAATAGGGTGAAGAGAATTGAGTTCCCTTTTGCCTTCCCTTGTTAGGAGGGAATGTTTTAAGCTTATTTAGAAGGAAAATGTTGTTTGTTTGTTTGCTTGATTTGTGCATTTTCTGTATGTGTTATAAATGGGTTTTATCTGTCTATCCTTTTCCTGAAACATGAAGTGTGTCTACCTACAAGAGCCTCATGAGCTCAGGTTTGCTTGTGTAGAGAAATAACCTTATTAAGTTACTTTTCCTATCATTAATTAGTAAAACTACTATGGAACTAATCCTGGAACATATAAGCGTTTTTCAATATCTAAAATAATGTGGTCTATTTTAAAATGTTAAAAGGTAGATTCTCCATGCCCTCACAAATTGTACACACAAAAATAATAGGCTTATAAAATTATTTGGAGCTTTCAGCATTTTCAAGCTGCAAGTCCTTAAGTCCTCTTTAACGTTGCAAATGTTCAGTTTCAGAAGTGAGACCTTTCGTTTTTTTGTTCTCTTACAAGAATTCAGCCTCTCTTTTGTCCTCATCTGGAGTGTCCCTGTTTTATTGTGACTGGTCTTATCTGTTTCTTTAATAACTGCAGTAGTAATGTCTTTTCAAACCTTACCTGCAAGTTATCCACCCCGATTCCACTTCTCCCTTTCTTTCTTTTTTTTTTAATTGAAAATTTTTATTTTTTAAAACATACAATCATTTATAAAAATACAATAAAATTTTAGAATAGAGAACCCCCCCTTACCCTCCCTCCCACCCCCACCCCCCCTCCCTTCACTTCCCAGAGCAGAATACAGGGTTAGAAAAAAAAAGAAAATTATAATAATTAAGAAAAAAGAAAAAAAAAGAGAGAAAGAAAAAAAAATATCATAATTAACCTTTAACTCCATAACCTATAAAACAATTCTCTATAATATTTGATATTCATTCATAAAATAAATAAAACTTTTTAATTCCATACTTTTTCTGAATATAATCTATCCACCTTCCCCATACAGTAATATATCTTTCTTGTGTATGATCCTTTAAATAAGCAGAAATTTTTGCCATTTCTGCAAAACTAGATACTTTAAATATCCATTCTTCTAAAGTAGGCAAAGAATCTTTCTTCCAATATAAACCTACTAGTAACCTTGCTGCAGTTAATAAATTCAACATCAAAGTAGTTTCTTTTTCATTTAAGTCAACAAAAATACCAAGTAAAAATAGTTGAGGAGTAAACTTTATCTTTTTTCTAAAAATCTTTTGAATGTTCCACCAAATCATAATCCAAAAAGCATTTACTTTTTTACAATTCCACCAAATATGAAAGTATGTCGCATCATTATTGCCACATCTCCAACATTTGGGCTGTATGTTGGAATACATACAAGATAATTTTTTAGGATCTAAATGCCATCTATAAAACATTTTATAAAAATTTTGAGCTTGTGTAAATTTAACATTTCTTATCCAAATTATCTCCCATAAATCCAATGAGATCGGCTCCTGTATATTCTGAGCCCATTTAATCATACAATCTTTAACCAATTCTGTTTCCGAATCTAACTCTAATAAAACATTATATATTCTTTTTATATGAGCCGGACCTTGGTTTTTAATCTGAATAACCAATTGTCTATCTTCTAGTGTTATTCCCTCTTTCTTATCTACAGTCCATCTATCCATTATTTGTAAATATTGAAACCATGACTGTAGAATATTTTGCTGCCTTAATACATCTAGGGATTTCAAATGCCAATTCGAACCAGAACAAATTAACAATTCTTTATATGAAATTTTATCAAAATTTGTCCCCTTAGAGGTTCCCTCAATTGCATGTCTGGGAATCCCCCAGATAGGTATTTTATAATTTAATCTATAATAATACTTCTTCCAAACACGAAGTAAGGCATTCCTCAAAATATGTGATTTAAAAGTCCGATCAACTTTCTTATTAAAAATTAAATATGCATGCCAACCGTATATTAAATCCCAACCTTCCAAAAAAAGAATATCCATATTTGTTAAGTTAAGCCAATCACTTAACCAAGTTAGGGCGGCTGCATCATAATATAATTTCAAATTAGGTGCCTTAAGTCCCCCTCTTTCTCGAGCATCCTGTAATATCTTAAATTTAACCCTTGGTTTCTTCCCGGCCCATATAAAATTATTGATACCCTTTTGCCATTCCTCCAAATTTGCCTCTTTTTTAAGAATAGGTATCATCTGAAACAAAAAAAGAAACTTTGGTAGAACATTCATTTTTACAGCTGAAATTCTCCCCAACAATGACAATTGCAATTTTTTCCAATCTCTTAAATCCTTTTGGACTTTTGCCCATAGTGGTTCGTAGTTGTTCTTATACAATTTTCCATTTGAAGCAGTTAGATATACTCCCAAGTATTTAACCTTTTTTACCATCTGAAAACCTGTGGCTTCGATCAAACTTTCCCTTTCTTTAACTGACATATTCTTAGATAATATCTTAGTCTTATAATTATTAACTTTAAAACCAGAAACATTCCCATACTGTGTTATAAGTTCTAATAAACCATCAATCGCCTGATTCGGCTGTTCCAAAATTAAAACCAAATCATCCGCAAATGCCCGCAATTTATACTCATTCTTCCTTATCTTTACACCCTTAATTAACTTCGATTCCCGAATCTGAATCAATAAAATTTCCAATGTTAAAACAAATAACAATGGGGATAATGGACATCCTTGTCTTGTCCCTTTTTGAATATTAAAATTCTCAGTCAATCCCCCATTTACAACAATTTGTGCAGATTGCTGCTGATATATAGCTTTAAGTGCATGTAAAAAATTATCCCCAAAATTCATTTTCTCTACCAAAGAAAATAAAAATTGCCAGTCCAATTGATCAAAAGCTTTTTCAGCGTCCAAAAAGATAAAAGCCACAGGAATCTGATTATTCTTATCCAAGTACTCAATTAAGTTAATAATTTGTCTAACATTATGTTTCATATATCTCCCTGTTATAAATCCTGCTTGATCACTATGAATCAAGTCTTTCATAACCTGCATTAATCTATTTGCCAAAATTTTTGTAAAGATCTTATAATCAACATTCAATAATGAAATTGGCCTATAATTCTTAGGCTCTGTAAGATCCTGATCTTCCTTCGGAATCAGTGATATAAAGGCTCTTTTCCAAGAAGGAGGAACTTGCATACCCAATAAAATACTATTAAAGAGTTCCTTTAATGGCTCTATCATTTCTTCAGATAAGATCTTATAATACCTAGAAGTCAATCCATCTGTTCCAGGAGACTTTCCAACCTTTAACTGCTTAATAGCTAAACCAATTTCCTCCACAGTAATTGAACTATTCATCCCATTATGTTGTTCCTCTGAAAGTCTAGGAAAATGTACTGATTGTAAATATTTATCTATATCCAAACCCCTTATATTATCACTTGAATATAATTTTGTGTAAAAGTCCAAAAAGCTTTTTCTAATCAAATCTTGCTGAAAAACCTCAGTACCTTTATATTTTACTTTCTCTATAATTCTAGCTTTCTGTTTCTTTCGTAACTGATAAGCCAACCACCTCCCAGGCTTATTCGCATTGCAAAAAGTATTATGTCTCATGTACGACAGATTGGTAGCCACCTGATCTGCCATCAACATGTTGAATTGTTCCTTAAGCATCTTTATAGATACCTTTAAATTATTATCAGTAGGGTTAAGAACCAACTCTTGTTCTTTTGATTTGATCTCTTCTTCTATTTCTCTACGTCTTTGTGACCCTTTTTCCCTAAAAACTTTATTCAATTGAATCAAAATTCCCCTCATATATGCTTTACTAGCGTCCCACACCATAGACATCGATGTTCCCTTATTCATATTTATAGTAAAAAAGTCCTTTAAATGTTCTTTACACTTTTGTACGAACTCCTCCCGATTAAATAAGTTCTCATTCAATCTCCAGGATCTTCTATTCCCGTCTTCCGAATATAACTCCATCCACACGGGACTATGATCTGACAATGTTCTAGGAAAAATTTTCACCTTCCTCACTCTAGGGAGGAAGTCACTAGTAATCAAAAAAAAATCAATCCTTGAAAATGACTGGTGTCTATCAGAATAAAAGGTAAAGTCTCTATCACTTGTATTCCTTTCTCGCCAAATATCAATAAGCTCCAGTTCTTCCTTCAAATCAAAGAAAGTCATAGGTAGTTTAGTTTGAATAAAAGTTTTAGAGGAACTTCTTTTGTCTATAGTTGGGTCTAAAACCCCATTCCAGTCACCCATCAAAATTACCGATTTATAATCCAACTGAGATATCTTGCCATGCAGCAACTTATAAAATTGTTTCTGTTGTTGATTGGGAGCATATAGTCCAACAATAAGAACCTTTCGGCCTTGTAATAATAATTCCACAAAAAGATATCTTCCTTCAGAATCAGCCTCAATTAGTTTAGCTGAAAAAGTTTTCTTCACATAAATTACCACTCCCCCTTTTTTCCCAGGGGCTGGAGCAGTAAAATGTGTGCCCAGACGGGAATTCATCAAAAATTTAGAATCCTTTAAAGTTATATGAGTCTCCTGCAAACATATCAAATCATTATTATGTTGTTTCAAATAATGGAAAATCTTTCTTCGTTTCTGGGGCACGTTTAAGCCATTAACATTCCAGGTCAGGAACCTGACCATCTCCACCGGCCTGGAGCCTCTGGAGCATGGCCTGCAGATCTGCTGTCGAAGATCTTTTTGGTCTTGCCCCTCCCACAGGCTCTGTAACAACCAAACTTTCACCACTCTTCTGCAACTGCTCTTTTTCTTTACGTTTATGGGCAGCTCGTGTCATCCTTTGCTCTTTTATGTCAGAATTTGGTGCAGCTTGTTCCATAACCATCATTGATGAGGCTCCTGCCATAAGAGACTCTTCCATCATCCTTATTTGTGGAGGTGGTGACAAACTTGCTTTTAAGATAGACTGATAAAAATCTCTTGCTTTGGAAACAGTAGTTAATCTGTGACGTATCCCTTCATAATTTACTATTATTCCTCTTGGAATCTCCCATCTGAACTGAATTTGACGATGTTTCAACTCATCAGACAAGAAAGTAAAATCTTTTCTGGCTCTTAAAATTTTTGGAGGTATCTCTTTTAAAATTATCACGTCTTGATCAGCAATTTGAAACTTTTGTTTGTAGAAGGCCTGTATAATTTCATTACGGATAGATCTTCTAGAAAAATAAATAACCACATCTCTTGGTAGATTTCTCTGTCTAGCAACCCGTGAATTAACTCTAAAAATTTTTTCTATCTCATTCTCAATTATTTCAGGCCGCCAGCCAATATTAGGAGCAATATCTTTCACAATAAGCATCTTTAAGTCTTCCTGAGGGTTTCCCTCAGGCCTCTGATACGCAATGCGTGTTCCATCTCCCTATATTGTGAAATGATTTGTTCATCCTGTGTAATTTCTATCTTGTTCTCTACCTCCTGCATTCTAAATTCCATCCTTGATGCATTTTCAGTAATCTTTTCCATCTGGTCATCAATCCTTTCTATGTGCAGGGCTAAGCCCTGAAAGGCCAGAAGGATATGGTCTCTTACTTGTTTGTTCTTTTTCTCCAATAATTCTTCTGTATTAGCCCTCTCTGCAATTATAAGATCTTTTACCTCCTCCTTAATATCCAAGGCATGCTGTTTTAAAGCATCTTGTAAATCATTAAGAGAAATTGCAGGAGGAGGAGGAGAAGGTGGAGGTGATTTTGGTTTCTGAGATGCAGGCTGAGGCATTGGAGAAGAAATAGGAACCTTAGGGGCGGGAGGCAGACGTTTTGAAGCCATTTTCTTAAGTTCCAAGAAGAAAGATTCTTATTGGAAAAAAAAGGGCACAGTTCTTTTAAGTATTCTTAAAAAAAAGAGAGAGAAAAAAAATAGAGAAAAAAAGAGGAAAGAATAAAAGCCAAATTCTTACTTCTGTATTTAAAGAGTTAATCTGTATCCAGGTTTTACTCTGTAATGCAAATCAGGCAAGAAAGACGATCGCCATTTTACTTTTCACTTTCCCTTTCTTCTAAAGGGAAAGTGAACAAAAGAAAAGGAAGAGGAAACTTGCTGAAGTTAAAGGCACCATCAAACTTGAGCACAGTCTCTCCTGGTCTGCTCTGTCTGCTTTCAAATACTCACAAGCAGCTGGAAAAAAAAGCAGATGTGGAAGCGGCAACTTGTTTCATCCCAAAAGCTTTGGAATGAAGTCTCCCTGGAACGCGGAGTTGCTCAGGCTCCGAGGGAGCTCTACCCTCCGATCCCCAAAATAACAGGGATCCAGGGGAGCTCTTACCTCTACCTGAGAGCTCTCCTCCTCCCTTTTTCCCAGGGAGGAGATTCAAGCTGCGGGACAGCTGATTGTCAAAGTCCCGCGGCTTTTACACGCACCAGGAACGGGCGGCTTTGTAAAACGCCGCCATTCGTCATCGCTGGAACCACCGGAAGTCCCACTTCTCCCTTTCTTATCCTCTGTCCTCCATGCCTAAGTCTGACCAGTAATGCCTCTCCTGGGAGAGTCACCCAGAAAGAGGGGAGGGGACTCTATTCTCTTATCTTTCAGCCCTGCACAGGTGACCCAGCAACATTTGGAAGCAGAGCACACTGACCCAGACGCTGCTACATTCATTTGAGCCATGGAATTGGATTTGAATCCAGTCATCCACTAGAAAGCCACTATGCAACCAGAGTGGAACAGATCTTCCATCACCCAGTTGCCTATGAAAGCTGCAGAGGAAGAAAGGACTCCTGGATCCATTGCCCACCATGTGAAGCCTCAGAAGACAACTGGAAAGACTATGGGGGGAGGGTGGAAACTCATTGTAAAGTTTTCTTTCTTGCCTCATTCATGTTATAATTAAGTATACATTCATGGAACAATGGCATTTGGGAATGGTTGGCACAGCAAGTACTAAACACCTTGGACATCTGTCTGGTGGAAGGAAAATTTGTACAGGATGTTTGTATTGCCTGTTTTGTATGAGTATTGCATACACACACATGCATACACACACATCATTCAGAATCACATTGAGGCTATCCCCTTCACGAACCTCCATGTAAAGTTCCCCAGGCTGGTTCTTGCTCTGTGGCACTAAGGTTTTTGCATGCATACCTTCCTGCAAATTCCATGGGGGGGGGAACCGTGCCCCCTCAGGCAATTTACAATTCATATGCCCTCACTGAGGAAATAGCAGGAAAGAGATCTCAAAACCTTGAATTTCTTGTACTGGTGGATTCATAGTGGGAATCCTAGGGCTCACTGTGTGCAATTTAAGAAATATTAATAGCCTGGCTTGTATACTGGCTAACATCAATTGGACATCACAAATCTGGATGCATTAAACTAAGAGCTAAGGCAGTAAACTACTCTTCAAAATGGGCAGCCAGTGGTTATGTACTGAGGCAAACATGGCTGTGAAGAATTTTGGGAGGCATGTGCAAATGACTGGAAGCTCAAAGTGACATCCAACATCTGAAAAGAATTGGCACAGAATATTGCACACTATAAATTTCCACCAACAGAACTTTTGCCCTGGCTTTATACCTTCATGGTTGAAAGTCTGCCCTTTTGGGAGCCAGTGCTGAGATCTTTTTCTGCTGCCTCTATTAGTGTCTTTTTCCATTAACAGTTTAAAAGCTTGTTTCCCCACATCCTGGACCCCATAGAAGCACCCATCAAGTCTCCCTGACCAGATCAAATTTTAATCTTGTGCCAGTAGAAGTTTGTCACCCATAATTATATGGCACAAAGGGAGGATTGTGGGAAGTCAGCCCCCACCCCAGAGAAAGAAATATTTTGGGGAATATTAAAGAAAGCAGAATATATTTCTCCAAAGGAATAATAGAAGATCTTAGGCAGAAACCACCCCCACTTCCCCAAGTCTCTCTGCCCCAAGCAGAGGCCAGGTCTGTAGAAATGCAGATTTGATAATCCTTTAAGAAAGATTGGAGCCAGGAAGCTTAGAGCTGACAGGATTAGAAAGACAAAGATCCCTAGAATCAACAACCCCTCACCCAAAAAATTCAACACAGGACATAGCCATCAGCCACAGCCACAGGGAAGCAGGACATGATCTTTAGGACATAATAGGATTAACTCACCACCATTTGAATACCAGAAGGGCACACTGAGCATCAGGTCAAAGTTCATACCATAGGAACAATTCCAAATACAAAGCCCAAGAAGGTATAAAAATCCACCACTCCCTGCTCCATGTGGTCAGCTTTCCCAGAGCCACATTTCTGTCTGGCTCTGCTCTTCAATAAACTACAACCTTCTTTCTAAAGCAGTCTTTATTTTGTTTATTCCCAGCTTGGACTGGACCCTGATGAAAAAAAAAATTTTCAACAGTTCCCAAGTGGCAATTTTTGGATATATCATGTTTCTTATTTGGAGACAGAAAAATAACTGAAGGAACATAGCAAGAAATAAGTTTAATAAAATGAGAAGTGCAAATTCCAAACTCTGAAGAAGAACATATCACAAAAAAGATTATACAAGAGAAATGGATCTGGTATACAATGTGGGATGGAAAAACCTGTTTTTGTAAGTCTTTGATCAAAACTCAATAATTATTTCTGAAGTATTTGATATATTTAGAAGAAGAAAAACATAGAATGGAGTACCTTTATTGTGTGATAAAATCTATTGTAATTTGCAAATAATCACATATAATTGTAACTGAAAATTTTCAAAACTTGCATAGGGATCTGTGTCCCTATACACTATTATGTTTCTGCCTGCAGTTAACTGCCAAAGAGCTAAACTTTACAGAAAGTATATTCAAAAGCAATGTCCTTCACTTGATCTTTAATGAAGGGACAGATATATTAAGTTTGATATGATGCTGGGACATCTCATAAGAAATAGAAATATTTAATTACACATTTAATTAGAAGAATGTAATTATGGTTTCAAGTAGCCCCAAATTTAGTTTAGAATGCACACTCACAGTTCATTATAATTCATACATAGATTGCCATTTGGGATAGTATCTTTTTTTAGTTTCATATTTTATTAGTTTATCAAAATATAAAATACTTAGTTTATCATAATATAAAATACAAAGAGAAATTCAAAAAGTAATAGAAAACTAGGAGGAGGCAGAGGGAAAAGAAAATATATAGTGTAAGGCAGTGGTTCTCAACCTTTTTAATGCCGCGACCCCCAACCGGTTGTAAGTCAAGGACTACCCAACCGGTCGTAAGTCGAGGACTACCCAACCGGTCATGTCGACTTTCCCTGCCTGGGAGCGCCGCGCATGCGTGGTGCCGCCCCCTGCACCAGCCAAGGCGTACCTGGCAAGCGGCAGAGACGGAGCAGGCCGACCACCGGCTGGGCCACCAGCTGGCCCAGCCCAAGGGAGGTAAGGCACCTGCCAGGCCCCACGCACGCCAGCAACCCTTCCTGCGCCCGCTGGCCTCCCACCCCTGGCCCTCTTTTACTTACATTTTTAGTAGTTGCTCAGCAGGGAGGGGTGGAAACTTCCAGACAGCTTGCCTTCGCTGCAGACAACTTGCAGCACCGTTTGCAGAATGGGACTTTTGGCGGGCTCAGCAGGGCAGAGACAGCCTGGACAATTCCTATTGGCTTTTGAAAGCCAATAGAATTAGACTCTATTCAAAAGAGTCTATTCTATTGGCTTTCAAAAGCCAATAGAATAAAAGGGAGTAGCACAGCTAAGGAAAAGGGGGAAAAAATGGCGGATTGCATTGTTTGGCGACCCCTGTGAAATGGTCGTTCGACCTCAAATGGGTCACGACCCACAGGTTGAGAACCACTGGTGTAAGGGAAAAGGAAAGAAAAAGGTTTCTCTGCTTTTTGGCTAAGATCAAGTGGGATAGTGTATCCCACAATATGCCAGGACTAACAATATGCCAGGATTAATAACATATTTCCTTATTGTGAAGTATATATACTTATTGTGAAGTACATATGACGTATTTCCTTATTGTGAAGTACATATGACATGTCAAAGATCATCTCACATTAGAAAGTATTGTATAAACACCAGCTTTGGAGAGGTTTTGAAACTTCAATCAATGATATATATAATATCCAGTAAATGAAAGCTTATTTTGAAGTGTGAAAGCATATAACTCAGTTTACTAAAGGTGGTTATTCAGCTATACGTCCAACTTCTTTAAGGTCAACAAATTGCAGCTTTCTAAAATTGCCTTTATAGTCCTGGTCTAGATAAAAAGCTAATAATTCCATAAGATAATCATTTATCAAACAATTGTTCAGGAAAAAATGCCAATGGAATAAGTCTACAACATTATACATTACTATGGGCCACTGCTTAGCGCTGCGGTGGTGCAGTGGTTAGAATGCAGTACTGCAGGCTACTTCTGTTGGCTGCTGGCAATTTGAGTCTCACTGGCACAAGGTTGACTCAGCCTTCCATTCTTTCGAGGTCAGTAAAATGAGGACCCAGATTGTTGGGGGCAGTACCCTGACTCTGTAAACCAGAGGTCCCCAACCTTTTTGGTTTGGTGGCCTGAAAGGGAGGCAGGCACCGTTATACACATATGCAAATGCACAAAATGGACCATGCACAAGCGAATGCACACGTACAAACGGGCCATGTGTGAGCGTATGTGCATGCACAAACGGGGCTGTGCAAGCATGAGTGCTGCAAATGGGGCCGTATTAGTGCCAGTGGGCTGCACAGGACGGTGCTAGCACTGGTGGGATGCTTGGGGTGGCGCTAGTGCTGATAGGACGCTCAGAGAAGGGCAGCGCTAGTGCCAGCGGGATGCTCAGAATGGCACTAGTGCTGGTGGGATGCTCGGGGCAGGGTAATACTAGCACCGGTGGAATGCTCGGGGTGGCACTAGCGCAAATAGGAGTGAGTGCATGCACACAAGCACATACACTGGCTATTCCTTCACGCAGCCCGGTGGCCAAGAGGCCACGGCTCAGGAGTGGGCTGTGGCCCACAGGTTGGGGACCCCTGCTGTAAACCACTTAGAGATAGCTATAAAGCACTGTAAAGCAATATATAAGTCTAAGTGCTATTGCAAAATGTTAAGATTTCTTTTTCAAGCTTGAAAATTATGAAAATATAAAAGGAGAACAAGCACAATCTT